TTATCTACATTCTCATCATTAGTGTCTGACTGGATCTCAACCTGAGGTGTCTCCACCTCAATATGTATTTGTTCAAGGGAATTTTGGCTTGCAATATTTATTTCAGTCATAACAAAATCATTATCTGTAATTTTGTCTTTTATTATAGTCACCAAGACATGGGAAAACATCTTCATTAAAAATCACAGACTCACTTTTGATTACTTTAAATCCTTTTGCTTCCTTCAGCCAGAGTCTATAGCCTTTTACCCCTTCCTTATATCCTAAGAAAACACATTTCAGAGATCTTGAGTCAAGTTTTGAGTCAATTTGGTAAGCATAGGTTGCGCACCCAAAGGTTTTTAGATGAGAATAGTCTGGAACAGATCCTGACCATATTTGTTGTGGTATCTTATTATTTAATGAAGTGGAAGGACACAAATTTATCAGATAGCAAGCAGTTTTTACTGCTTCCCCCCAAATTTTTTTTGGTAATCCTGAACTAATCAGCATGCACCTAGTTCTCTCAAGAATGATTCTATTCATTTTCTCAGCTACACCGTTTTGCTGAGGAGTATAGGTGACAGTCCTATGTCTTAGTATGCCAATAGTACTACAGTACTGATTAAATTCAGTATTGTAGAACTCCAAACCATTGTCAGTTCTTAAAACTTTAATTTTCCTACTTGTTTGATTTTCTACTAAGGTTTTCCACTCCTTAAAGACTAAGAAGGTGTCTGATTTTGATTAGGAAGATCCAAAGTTTCCTGGAGTAGTCATCAACAGTAAGGAGGTAATATCTATATCCCGATGCAGTGGACAAAGGTGCAGGGCCCCATAAGTCACTGTGAATGTATTCAAGTATATTTTGAGACTTATGAGTGCCATGATTAAAGGGCATTCTATTCTATTTTCCCATAATACAATGTTCACAGAAGGTTAACTTCTGAACATTGTCATTCCCAAAACACCAGCTTTTGAAAGTGTCTTTAGACCTTTCTCACTAAGATGCCCTAGTCTTTTGTGCCATAGATCAGAATTATCTAGTTGTGTCATCAAATTCACAGCAGCATTCTAAATGACATCATCAGGATTTAGGATATAGATACCATTTATTTTTGGTGATTTGAATATAAGTGACTGATTTCTATTTAATTTTGTGAAGCCATCCTTAATTTCAATTTGATACCCTTCATCATCTAAGACCCCAAGGGATATAAGGTTCCTTCTAAGTGTTGGGACATATCTAGTATGATTTAGTCTTAGGTGTTGACCATTTTTCAATTTTAAAACAATGTTTCCAATTCCTTTTACTTGACAGGAATTATTATTTCCCAATTTTACACATCCACCACTAAGATTTGTGTAATTAGTAAACCATTTAATATTAGGGCTCATATGAAAGGAGCACCCTGAATCTAGAACCTAGTCATATTCAGATTTCTCTAATGAGTGCACATAAGATACCCCAATATCAGCATCTTCTTCCCTTTCATAGGAAGCAGCAATGGCTGAAGTGTCATTTTCTTGCTTAGAGCCATTTCCTAGGTCCTTAGCCTTTTTGAAGCAGTCTTTTATCAAATGACCAGTTTTACCGCAGTAATAGCATTTTCTATAGTTAACCTTTCCTTTGTATAGCTTCTTGTCCTTTCCTTTATTATTTCCCCATTTTTTCTTAGAGAAATTTTTATCTCTATTGTAGTTAGCTTGACTAAAGTTATTTAAACCTTTTATGGGAATTTTTGGATTGGACATTGATTTTTCAACATTTAAGGCAACTTTATGTTCAGATTTAAGTTCTAGATCTCTAGTCTTGAGTGAGTCATGAATGATTTCAACAGTTAAGTCACTCCTACCATATTCTAAGGCATTCTTAATGTCTTTGTACTTATCACCCAAGGCATTTAGAAGACCAACTACTTTCTGGTCATCAGAGATCTTTTCTCCACAATTGGTTAAATCTTGTGTGATTTTATTAAACCTGTCCAGATTTTCTTCTAGGTCTGCAGTAGGGTCAAATTTATGACTGAAGAATTGTTTCCAGAGGAAGCACTTATTTGGGAGAGACTTAGAAACATATTGTTTTTCTAAGGGTGTCCACAACTCAACAGCAGCAGTAGTAGTTCCTATCTTTCTAATCACAGAGTCAGATAGATGAAGAAATATTGTACTCTATGCCAATTCATCTTGCTCAGTTTTTCTAACTTCTGACAAAGTTTCTGGTCAAGATTCATTAATTGCTTTAACGCATTTTAATTGCATTAAGAGGGCTTTCATTTTCTGGCTCCAAAGAGTAAAATCCCCTTTGCCATCCCAATGTTGAATATCAGTTTTAGTGGACATATTGTTTAAGTATAGCACTATAGTATTTTAGACGAGTTAGGCAAGATTTAATTCCCCAAAAATTGTCACAGTTTATGCAGAGCACAACAGAAATATATTGCATAAAACAGTTCACACTCAATAAACTTCTTACTTGACAATTTATTCTTGCAATAACAAATAAAACAATTTCTTGCCTAATTATGTAAAATGTAAGTGCATACACAAAAAATAATTGAATAATGTCAATTTCAGATTGTTGACTAGTATTGTGAATTCCTATACACTAAATTTGAGATATGCAGAAATTAACATAAATCGCAGTACATAGAAAAATTATGCCCTAATGGATTTCTTCACCGTTCCTTAATTCCCTCAGATTCTAGGGTTCTCGCATGAAACCCTAGACAAAGGAAAATTAAGGGGGTTCGAAGAAATCCCTAACTTAACCCTAATCAAGATTCAGTAAATATTTAAATTTGGATAAGGTATAGATTTCACCAGATCTGCAGTTTATTTCGAAGAGTACCAATCTGTTTCCACAGATCTGCTCAAAATTTAGATCGAAGAGATTTCCTGTACAACAGAAACAGATCTATTAATTTTTTGATAGTTCTAAGCACAATCGTGTTAGAGAATGCAAGATTTGAACAATAATATTTTGAAAAACGAATTTTAGCAATGGCTCTGATACCACTGTTAGTCCCATTTGTTCAAATCTTTTATTCATTCGAGTATTTTGCAGTAAAATACAAAATCCAAGAGTGCAGAAAAATTATAAAACAACACAAAGAATTTTCGGCCAAAGGCCCCGAGGTTCGGCGACCAACTAACGCCTACATCCCCGTTGAGCATCCATATGGATTAAGCTCAAATCCACTATCAAAATACCCATATTGGGCAAAACAAAGTTACAAACATATGAGAGTACACTGTCGTTTCTCCTAATCACAAAAGGCCCTCAAATTCTATACACAAATCTCACACAGAGATAAATCTCAACAATTCTTTAAAAGGATTTCACACAGAAATCACAAAGTAAACCCACAGAAAAATGGAGAGTTCGAAGAGGAAGAACGGTAGTTAAGAAAATGAAAAGTTAGGGTTGAACAAAACATCTCAAACCCTAGTTATATGAGGCGTCTCCCATAGACCAATCCAACGGTCACAATTATGCCACGCATAGAAGATCTAGCAGAGGACGCATTTTGGAGTTAAATTGCGTTTCAAGAAAACACGACTTTGTCAAGTCTAGAACCTTCAGTAAGTGTGTTAAAATCATTGGGCCGGGTCATGCTAAATGTCAGTTGGGCTCAAAGATTTCAGCAGCCCAAATCCTTACATTTATAAGTTAAGAAATTGGGTATAACCTCTGAATATGAAATGTCGATGGAGAGGTGAATGGGAGACGTGAAAACGAAGAATCCGTGAGGGTAGAAGAAGGCGAAGAAGCTGCCAACGAATATTCCAACGGCTATTGCGGCGGCAATCCTGGATCTTCGAATAGATTGGCCGCTGTCTTTTCTCATCAACGCAATCATTTTTCTTTCAGATTGATTGCTACTGATTTATTCACTAAGGATCCGTTTGATTGCAATGATGAAATTTGGGTGGAAAGAAAACGAATTTCAAAGAATTGAATTGTCAAGAACTTAATTTAGTGAAAATTATCAATTAAATGTGCTTAATTGTTATTATTTTTTACTTGAAAAATGTTGAAATTTTTTATCTTTTGATATTCATTTGACTTTGTTTTTCATGAAAATTATCAATTAAAGAGATAAAATTTGTTATTATGGATAGAATTTGCTCCAATTGCCAAAAAAATTAAATTAAATTAAAAAAATGTTGGGAAACCGTGAAAATTGATTTTCCACAAAATCATGGAAAATCCATCACATGAGAGGGGGGAGGAAAATAAGTTGTCAGGAAAATTTTTGCCATCAAACAGTCCCACAAGGGTGGAAAATGGAAATTTTTTTCATAATCCACGGAAAATTACTTCTATCAAACAGCGCCTAATATCACTGGCATGTGGAAGAAGAGTAACAATCACAATTTTGCTCCTTGGGCGGTGGGAATTTTCAGGAACTGTTTGCCACAAAACGACGTCATTTTAAATGCAGGAAGAATAGCCTTTGAAGCTTCACGCAATAAATGTTGGAAATTCGCACTTTTCGTCCTCATCTTTGGAAATTATAATATATTTACCCTCCACTTTTTTTTCTTTTTTTTTTAACATAATTCATTCTCAGCCTTTCAATTGTATAGAAACAATTGTCACTGTTTATGGATCAAAACTTTTGTCACTGTTTATGGATCAAAACTTGAGTGATCCATCTGGAATGAGACTTGGACAAAACCAAATGGAGGTTGGAACATATCGACATTGAAAAAACAGTTAATAAAAGTAATGTATTTAAACCTCATTATTACATGAAATCCACAATTTCTATCAACTTTTCAATCACATATTTCATAAACTTTTATTAAAATCAACTAATTTTTTATATTAATATCTGCACCAACCAGCCTCTTAATAGACCAAATTTGACAAATTATTTATTGGGTCACACCTAGAGAGCCAATTTGGCATCCCTAACTAATCTGTATTATGCCTGAAATGCTGACTTTCAAGAACATACTAGGAATGATGATTCTTCTTCACTTGATAGACAATGATAGTACTATATAAGACCTCAGACAAGATTTTAATTTCTTCTTGTTTCTCAATTACGTCCTCTCCCATCTATTGCAATATGCATAAACATGTCACAACCGTAACTGTGTACATTACCATAAGACGTCTCAAGTATACAAGCGAGACACTCAATTACAAATCCGTAGAAGAACAATACAAGGAAAGGTACGACAATGCGCGAATGATTCCGGAACTTATTGAAATCTTACAGAGTATATTTGCATTTGACTATCGAATCATCTGGCATATCCTAGTTATAAGGCGGTCGTCATTCTTTATCTTCTGATTCTGAAGTCTCTACATGCTCTAGCGGGCCATCAATAGCAGCACCACTTATTTGTCTTTTCCCTGGGTTAATGATATTTTGAACCATATGGCTAGCTGATCAACAGGAAAAGGAAATAAACTATCAATTTGTAATAATAATGTAACAGACTGAAGATTAAGGAGAACAGATTTTCAAATTAACTTATCAAATGTCATGTAAAGCACAATCAAATCATAATAAATATCATGATGTTTAAATCACTACCTGACTCCCAAATCTTCATAAGAAACGTCCTCGTAAACTCTATTTCTGTATGACGGGCACTGACAAATTTAGCCTGCAAATCAAAGCACGAATAAAATTTCAGATTTGGGAGGTCCATTTATTTATTTAGCATTATTTTTTTGGTAACCCAACATGAAGTTGTTTATTTTCCTTTCCTTTTTCTTTGGCCAGGCTTCAGACAGGATCAACAGTATTATATGGACGAAATGAAATTTTATTAGATGAAATGGGGATCATGATGCACTCGTAAAAAATGAAAAGTTTTAAGGTGGGATTGAATAAGCATTATCTGCCATATATACATACAGGATAAGGTATTTACCATTTTGCCATAGAGGAAACCCATAAGTTGATCGAGTCTGCATTGATGTCTTCGGAGAAAAGGGCGCAGGAGATTTATATAAAAGTGCCTTGCTCCCTGCAAAAAATAGTAGTGGAAGTGCTTGATGTTTTAGTAAAACCTGCAAATAGAAGGGTGCAGTTGCACACAACAACGTCGAAAAAATAATCATATAATGGTAAAAATAATCACTTTGGTCTATTACACGCTCAGTTATTATTCAATTTGTGCAAGCAAAAGGAAATATTCAAAAAAATGACTAAGAGACTAGCACCAGATTTGGTATCAGAAAATTCGCTTCCCAATTACCAAATCACCATGCATAATTCACAATTTGCTCTGGGCCTAAACAAAGCAGCTAAATTTTTGTGCTTAACTCCAGCAAGCAAACTTTCAATGTGAGCAACAGCTTTGCAGTCTATATAAAATTAAACCCTTCGACACCAATAAAAGCAGAAATTTGGAAATGCAAAGGGCAGCATGGTCTAATCGATTTAATAAACGAAAAACAGGTCAATTCATTGAATCACAGTTTTCTGAATAGAACTAGCAAGTAGCAACCTCAGACTCAAATTTGAGAGTAAATATGTGATTACCACAGAAACCAAGGAAAATTTACTATAAGCCTTATCCCAAGATGGTTAAATTCTATGCAAAAAAACATCATAAGAAATCAAAACTCACATCATTTTGATTAGCTTATCAGTAAATAGAAACTCCATCTGCTTGCTATAATAAAGATAATTCCATTGTCCAACATTAATAGACGTCCATTGCAGAATCAAGTAAAAATATGTGGTAAAGGGAAAACATTAATATTGCAACTAGAAACTGAAAGCACTGACAAAGCTTACGTCAACAGATGGCAGTTGAAGCCACACAAGAAATGCAAGCTTCATATGATAGTAAAAAGGAAACCTGAAAGTTGAAGTCATGTCACTTCAGTAAAAGCTAACTCCACCTGATGAATAACTAATCTAAACTTACAAAGCTTTCAACTTGTGTGGGTGTGGAGGGCAAAAAGGGGATGGGTGGGGATAAGAAATTTACTTTCAAAACAGTACCTGCAGAGAAATTTATCTGTGAACAACTCGACAACACTAAAAGAGCCATACGCTGCAAGAGATAAAGTTTAGTCAAAGTCAAGAACAGGGAAAGCCATTAAATGAATGTGTGATCTCAGTTGGACCAAACCGAATGATATTTGGTAGAACCAGACACCCTAATGCTTACAACATGTTAGCTAGAATCCAGTTTAGTTCAATGAAAGAGTACTACAAGTCAGGTATGCAATTTTACAAGCCAATTTAAACTTCGTGATTCTGGTAACAATATCTTGAGATAAATCATCGAATATCTTCAAACCAAGTCTAGCTATCGTATAGCAGTACGTAAAATAACAAAGACCATGATATCTGAACTTGCATCATAACACATGTTCATAGATAAGTTCTCCTATGTGGTTTCGGAAATAACTTCAACAGTAGATGTGTTACTTTCATAATTGTAGCATTTCAATACTAATATTTGCACATAGCATAAGGAAATTTCAACAGCCTTGCTAACCAGCCCAATACAAAAGCCACTTTCGTTGCTCATCTTCCTCTCTTGATTCAATGGCCTTAAATGTAGAATAAACAGGTAAAACAGTCCCCACAGAAAAGCTGCAGAAAATGTGCATAATCAGTCATCAAAATGTTGAAGCTTAACAGATAATATGAAGAATTAATTGTAATGTTATCTCTTAGCTCTAAAATTGCAAAACTTCGTGCATAAGCAACACAAAGCAATGACGATAGTGTTATATTTTAGCAGTGTCATTAAAAATAACAAGTGATGTGACAGGAATATAGAAGCATAATATGCATGCGGAGGACTTATACCCATGCAACATCAATATCATTCGAGATACACGCATCATCATAAAAATGAGAAATAGAAAACGAGGATTCAAAGAGCTTTTTCTTAGGTGATAATATGTGAAAGATTGAAAGCTCACCAGGCGGTTTGGATAACAACATTAGAACCAAGGGGACAAAGAAGCGCTCCTAACCCCACCTGCATTGGTTATAGTTTGATGCCAGCATAAATCATAACTCTGGATGCAAGCTACATTGTTAAATTACAGAGAGCAGTGGCCATCAAGAACTAATAAACGACCAATAACTTTCAATCGCCACACCCAAAATGAAAATTATTACACCAAACTTTAGGATTAGAATTTAGAGTACAAAATCTTCTGCTAGAGCCACTCAAACTCAGGAGCTTGGAATTGTGAATTGAAGAGGAAAAAAATCACATTTGACTTGACTTAACCCAATTCAAATTTTAAAATACGAATCCTCTACAAACAAACACTCCCATTGATTTTAATTATTCGAGTAGTTTATTCTCAACACATTTTTACACCAAATTCGTAAAAAAGAAGCCTCCCAAATAGCTAATGGTAATTTGAATTGATCCAGTTGAAATTGATTGCATATTTCACATACATAAATTACTGAATTGTTCGGCCATCCAAGGTAATAAAAAAATTTCAGCTTAAATTCAAATTTAACGCGGGGTCTACAATAAAAATATCTAAATTACGATTTGAAAAGAAAAACGGGTTATAGCCCTTTACCAGGCCCCTCCTGGCATTACCAGGGCCCTGGTAATGTAGCAGGGTTCAAGAAAAAAATTACTCGTTCAACGTCAAAGCGTCAAATGAAACGCACCTCGCTGCGCATGTTGGATCCGAACATGGCCATTGTTTAGCGAAAATCTGATTCAGAAATGAAGCGCGTTTTCTTGATTTCGATGTTTCAAACATCAGCATGAAGAAACCAGTCTTTAATTTGAGACTTTTTCGAGAAGAGCTTCCGACTACTTATAAAATTGGTAATTTTATTTAGGGGAAATTACGGTCTCTAACCTTTTAATTTTTGAAAACTTGACCCTAGTCTTTCCTTATGTCCCACAAAGTTTCAAATCTTTCAAAAATATGCACATGAGGTCAAAATGGATGAAAACCGTCCATTTAATCGTTAATTGACTAATAAAATTAAACTTTGACCAATTTCGACTAATTTAAAAGGTTAACCTTGTTATTTAACCCAATAAAACAATTAAAATAAATAACTAAAACAAAATAAAAATAAAAGGAAAAAAACTAATCATCTCCCACCCCACCTTCGCTTCTAAGCCACCTTATCAGCTGTAGTTGCAGATACAAATGTCGTAGTCGGACTAAATACCTCATCCAAATCAATACTCTCAACACCCTCCTGGTCATCATCACTATTACTCTGATCACCAAAAGTGGAGCTTGCCTAACCTAATTCCTCGCTTTTTCACGAATCAAGGGCTCCTTTTCCTCCAAAAACCTAGATGAAGAACTTCGCAATTCTTCTCCTAGTTCGGATTTCAATTCAAGTGTAGCAGAGTGGGCGATTCAGAGATTCTCATCACAAAAATCAAAGATTATAGAAAAAAGCTTAGCTAGTAATAATGAGAAAATTACTCCAAAAATTACTGATGCATATATGGTTGCGAATTAGCCATAACTAGAATTAATAGCGATACTAAGGAAATAAAGTTTCGCAAATTAGTGCAAAATATTGGGGTTTGAGATAGCGATGACCCTAGAAGGCTAGAACTAGAAATGGAATGCAAGTATGAAGAGAGGAAATAGTGGCCAACGGCCGATTGACCCGACCATTTTTTCAAAACGGCCTTTGGCCAAAGAAAAAATTAAAAAAAAAAAAAAACAAATGCTGAAAATGCAAACAAAAGCCAAATGATCGAAAATACTCTCAAATAAAAAGAAGAGAAGGGGAAAAAAAGAGAAAAAAAGAAAAAGCAAAATCTCATTACTAACACCGAACAATCGAGATCGGAGTATCGTCGAAGATCGCCAGTTCTCAAAGGGTTTAGCCTTTTCTTATTCTTCATTGAAATATTTTTTGTTGTTGTGAATGTTTGAAATTTGAAAATTTGTTTATTGAATATGTTATGAGTTAAAAACAAAGTTAAAATGGAAGAAAATATCGAATTTGAGGTTGAAATGACTCAAAAAAATGAAAAAAAGATTGAAATTAGCCGAAAATGGAGTTTTCCGACGAGCGGTGAGTTCTCGTCGAACCGAGTCTGGAGCGTCCGGATCCGGACCACCGTACAGTTCATAACGGACCATGGTCCGACGGGCCGGCCCGACCCACACTTTTTTTTTTTTGGGAACAAAATCAAGAATCTTATAATTTTTTTTAAAAATTTCTAATTTAATTCATTTTCCATAATTTATTTTTCATTTTCATTTTATTCTTTTAATTCTCTTGCTTTAATTTAAGGGAAAATTGCAGCAAAAGCTCCAAACCTATGAAATATTAGCAAACTTTTCTCAAACCTTTGATTTGTTGCAACCGTCATCCCTAACCTTTGCAACTGTTGCAGGTAAAGCTCTTTTGAACGGTTTTCATCCACAATTCCATTAGTTGACCAAAAATTTAACTTTGACCATATTTTAAATATTTTAAAAAGGGATAAAAGAGTAAATTTTCATTTATCACATTAAATAAAAAAACACACACACACACAACCCTCTCTAGCTCTCTTCTTCTTCCTCCCCCCACCTCCACCGCAAATCCCAAATTCCACACCAACCACTGCCACCGCCACGAGAAATTTTTCATTGAACAAAACCTAAAAAAATGGGGGTCCCATTCACCAGAATCCAGATAATAAGATGAGTTCTTTTTTTCCCCCTCAGCATTCAAAAAAATTTGTAGTGAGAGTGTCGTTGAATGGAGCCAAGAAGGAGTCGTAGGGGGAGAGGGGATACTGCGCACCATGTTCGCACGCATCCCTATGGGCTCTTCTTCTTCTTCATCTTCCATTATCTTCTTTACCCTTGTGTATTTTAATTGCTATCTCACTACCCTACGCCTTCCCTAATTAAATCAAGCAATGAAGCAAATTCTCTAAAAGAAGGTCTATTCATGTTAAGTCAAATACGTTGTTTTCTCGACTGGACTTTTAGGGATTCTGTTTATATATTTCATTTTGGGGGAAAAAGGAAATGGATCTGTGTCCTTTTGTACGGTTAACTGTAGAGAATTTAGCGTTGAAGATTCCGGTGCTATCCAAGTTGGCGAGGTCAGTGGTGCATCCCTCATTCTCTTCGTGTTTTTGCAAAATTAAGCTCAAGAGTTTCTCGTTACAAACGGTGGTAGTGACGTACAATCCGCCAGAGAAAACCCAGCTCCTTGATGGAAACCAACAAATACTCGCCGCTAGTTTCCACCTTAGCAAGTCTGATCTTGACCGGCTCATAGGGAAATCGTTGCTTTTTGCTACCACCAAGAATTGAGGTGGAGATTTCGTAGAGGTGGAGGTGGCGGTACCGGGTTGGTGTCGAATTTGGGATTTGGGTTGGGTTGGGGTGGGGTGGGAGGAAGAAGAAGAGAGCCAAAGAGGGTTGTGTTTTTTATTTTTTTTATTTAATGTGATAAATGAAAATTTACTCTTTTATCCCTTTTAAAATATTAAAAATGTGGTCAAAATTAAATTTTTGGTCCACTAACGGAATTGTGGATGGAAATCGTCCAAAAGAGCTTTACCTGCAACGGTTAGAAAGGTTAGGGGTGACGGCTGCAACAAATCAAAGGTTTGGGGAAAGTCTGCTAATGTTTCATAGGTTTGGGGCTTCTGCTACAATTTTCCCTTAATTTAATTCAATTTATGTATTATTTAATTTTTATTTACTATTTTTAATGTACGAGGAAATGATTTTATTTCTTACATACTAATGTATGTAATTTGATTTGTTAAATTTTAAAATATGATAAATATTAATAATTTCTTATAAATGTTTTTAACATGTATTAATTTTGCAGAATGGAGTCCCACATAGACAATATCATGAGAGCTTATTTGGAAAAAGTTACGTTGTATCGGTATTGGAGGAACTGGATGAGGAACATATAGTCATACTCCATTAATCATTCCTATGGTCATTCTATTCGTTGAAGGACATGCAATTTTTCAGCCAGATTATTGATTCCTTATTACAGGAAGAAATTATTTAAATTAAATATTAATTTTTTAATTTAAATGAGTAATTAAAGTAATAACTAAATAAAGAATAATATACAAAATCAATTAAAATAAGTAATTAAATAAGTAATTAAAATAAATAAATAATATACACAATCAATTAAAATAAATAACTAAATAAAGCAAATAAATATTAAATAAACAAATAAAACAAGTAATTAAAATAAAAACATAATAAATAATATACATAATCGATTGAAATAATTAATGAAATATTTAAATAAAAAATGAAATCAACTGTTAAATAAACAATTAAAACAAGTAATCAAATAAAGTAAATAAATATTAAACAATAATCAACTTTGTGATTTCTCACGTCGATCATGAAACCACTATTGTAACTTGTCACAAAAGTTCTCAATCGTTGTGAGAATTGGTAATTTTAGATCCTTCTTAAATAAAGTATTGAACGACTCTGCGTTGAAGAACCAAGGCATCGCTAGATCATCTATTCAAATTGATAACTCTAGATCCTTCTTAATTAATAAAATACTTAAAAGAATAAATTAAAGTAATTATGATTTAGGGAAATAAAAGTTTATTTCGAGAAAAGTTTTATCATTTATTTCAGTAATTATGATTTAGGGAAATGAAAGCTTTAATTACAAATTTTAAAAGCCGTTAGGTTCGATTTGTGCGGTCTTTGGAAATAAAAACCATACGTTTAGATAGATATTACAAATCAGTCGAGTCAATTTTTATTTAAGTACCTACTCGGTCAAGGAAACTTTTCGGTAGATGATTTTCTAAACTTATGTCTATATCCAGGAGTACGCGGTTGAACTTCAGGTGACAACAAATTATTAAGTGCTACAATCACAATGTAATCGAGAACTTCTCACTCGATTTCATTTGGTAGAGGAAATATAATTTCAGCATTATTGAATAATGTATTGAGTGACTCCACATTGTTCAACGTTATCATGTTGTATCGATATCCTGGAAAATGTTAACATGCTTAATGTTCGACTTCCATATTTGTTAGATATTTTCATGCACCAGTGTGATTTATGTTCTATTTCGCTCATGAACTTATCAAACTCTTCAAAACTGTAAATTTCTGCGGCTTTCCTAAACAATATACATAACATATTAAAACAATTAATTAATGAAATATTTAAACAAAAAATTAAAATAAATATTAATTTTTTTATTTTGGTAAGTCTTTAAAATATATAATTAAATAAAGTAATTATGATCCTGTTTGATTAAGATCCTATGAACAAATTAAAAGATCGTGTACTCAATCCAGCTTGTAAACTCCCACCAGACTCATGTCTCTATCTGATTACGATCCTGTGAACAAATTCTGTGTGTAACAATGAAACCATGGTGAATAGCAACTATGTCGAGAATAATGTTTAGATGTCAAAAGATTGATAGAGTTTCGACTTATTGGGAACTAATGAATTTCATTCTGTAAATATTTTATGAAAGTAGAAGGTAATAGTACTAGTTATCGAACCTTAACATTTTAACAGGATCTGTCTTTCGTTCTTTTCAAACTACAAACAAGTTCATTAATCATTTAGGTTTACAAGCAGTCATTTTTCTATCAAAACCATAACTTATAAGTGTATATTAAGTTTAAAAACAACAAATAAAAGAAAGAATAACGGAAAAATGACTTGAATGAGAATCTAAGACTTGTCGAAAGAAAAGAGAGAAAGAGGCAATTCAGGTAACAATTATCAGATACAAGCAGTCATTTTCTCTATCAAAACCATAACTTATAAGTGTATATTAAGTTTAAAAACAACAAATAAAAGAAAGAATAACGGAAAAATGACTTGAATGAGAATCTAAGACTTGTCGAAAGAAAAGAGAGAAAGAGGCAATTCAGGTAACAATTATCAGACTAACACGCAAAGGCGACTGACGATTCATTCAGAAGGGCAGACAAGCATCAAATGTTAGGAAAATGAAAGTTTATGTCGAGGGTTTTGAAACTTTAGACGTGATTTGTTGATATAGTTTGTTGAATTACGATTTGGATTGTTGTAAATATTTTTTTTTTCATTTTATATAATTTTGGAATAATTTTAGTTTAGTTTAGATATCGGGTGAGGACATGTGTTGTAAACTTGTTAATAAAATTAATGTTTTCGTTGTTTTTTCTTTTATTTGTTATTTTTAAATTTATTATTTACTTATCAGTTGTGGTTTTGATAAAAAAAAATGACTGCTTCATTTAATATAATTTTGGAATAATTTTAGTTTAGTTTAGATATCGGGTGAGGAAATGTGTTGTAAACTTGTTAATAAAATTAATGTTTTCGTTGTTTTTTCTTTTATTTGTTATTTTTAAATTTATTATTTACTTATCAGTTGTGGTTTTGATAAAAAAAAATGACTGCTTGTATGCCTAAATAATTAATGAACTTATTTGTGGTTTGGAAAGAAAGAAAGACAGAACATATCGATTGTGTGGAAATGTTAAAGTTACATAATTAGTAATACTACCTTTTACTTTCATAAAATAGTTAGAAAATGTACTAGTTCTAATTTCCAGTAAGCCGAAACCTTATCAATCTTTTATATCTAAACATTATTCTCGAGATAATTGTTACTTACCATGATCTCACTATTACACATAAAATTTGTCGATTGTGTGGAAATGTTAAAGTTACATAATTAGTAATACTACCTTTTACTTTCATAAAATAGTTAGAAAATGTACTAGTTCTAATTCCCAGTAAGCCGAAACCTTATCAATCTTTTATATCTAAACATTATTCTCGAGATAATTGTTACTTACCATGATCTCACTATTACACATAAAATTTGTTCATAGGATCGTAATCAGATAGAGAGATGAGTCTGGTGGGAGTTTACATGCTGGATTAAGTACAATCTTCTAATTTGCTCATATGATCGTAATCAGACATGATCATAATTACTTTATTTAATTATTTATTTTAAAGACTTACTGAAATAAAAAATTAATATTTAATTTAATTTCTTCTTTAAATATTTCATTGATTATTTTGTTTATTTAATTAATCATTTAGTCATAGTTGTATTCAAAAGTTGATCGACTTGCTTTTGAAGCCAAAATAATAAGGAATCAATAATTTGGGCGAAAAATTGCATGTCCTTCAACGGATAGAATGACCATAGGAATGATCGACGGAGTATGGCTATATTTTCATCGAGTTCTTTCAATACCGATACAACGTAACTTTTCCCAAAATGAGCCCTCATGATATTGTCTAGGTGGTACTCCATTCTGCAAAAATAATACACGTTAAAAACATTGATAAGAAATTATCAACATTTATTATATTTTAAAATTTAACAAATCAAATTACATGCATTAGTACGTAAGAAATAAAATAATTTCCTCGCACATTAAAAAGAGTAAATAAAAATTAAATAATACATAAATTGAATTAAATTAATGAAAAATAAATTAAATTCAAGAAAAAAATACATACATGAATGAGCAAAAAAATTAAAAGAAGAAAAAAATGAAAAATAAATTATGGGAAACGAATTAGATTAGAATTTTTTTTAAATTATAAGATTCAAATTTTGTTCTCTAAAAAATAAAAATTTTCGGGCCGGCCTGCCCGGACCGTGGTTCGTTACGGACTACATGAGTCCGGATCCAGACTGCCCCGAAGACTTTTCAAATTTCATTTTTATTTATTTTTTTGAATATTTTAAGAAGAAATTAAGTTAAATATTAATTTTTTTATTGAAGTTTTGTGAATGTTTTAAGAAGTAATTAAATTAAATATTAATTTTTTTATTGAAGTAATTGTTTTAAAAAAATAATTAAATAAAGTAGTTAAATATTAAGAAATGAAAAGTGTTTGATTTTTTAATTTGTAACTTAAGGGTATATTTATTTTTTAAAACAAAATTATGTCATTGTAATTTTATAAACAATTTAAGATTATTTTTGTCTTTTAACCTAGAAAAGGCTATTGTGAAGATTGACAAAAATTTTGGATTAAAGTGGTGAAGTGGCCATTTGATTTGGCCATTCTTAAAAGTACCCCATATGAAGACGGGGATGGATGTTTTTTTTCTTTTATTTATTTATTTTAATTTTTTATAGGGTTAAATAGCATGGTTACCTTTTAAACTTTTTAAATTGGTCAAAGTTTAATTTTATTGGTTAACTAACTGTCAAATGGATGATTTGGACACTAGTTGCATCTTTTTGAAAGGTTTGAGACTGTGGGTGGCACAAAATAAAGATTAGGATAAAGTCTGCAAAAAAGTAAAAAGTTAGAAACCCCTACTGCAATTTTCCCTTTTACTTTATACTGAATGGATTTTTTGTTGATTTAACTGAAAAAAGGAGAATAATTTCCTCTTTTTTCTTTTTTGGGTATCATAAACTTGCAACAATGGAGCAAACACAATCAAAGTTATTAGCTACTATTGCTTTGGGGATGGGACATCCTCTAGTCGTTACGAAGCCGACCTGCATTCCTAAGGAATGGAGTAAGGGTCGGACCTTATCGTGTTTCAATATCCCTAATTATTGAATGTACGAATCTCCCCCGAGGAGAACTTAGGGGGGCAACGTTTCGATTCTCTTTTATTATTATTATTGGCATGTTAGAATATAATTAAGAAAGAATACGCTGTCACCTATATCGAGTGTATCAATATGAATAGCACTAGCACATTTGACGGTTAGTCCATGCACGAGATTCTTATATCAAATTATCAAATGCAAGTACATCACACAGTTCTTGAATCAAGCATTCTAGAGTGAAATATATAGCCTCGGCTTCAGAGTGAGATCGGTCACCGGACTTAAAAACATGAACATCATTCCCAACGTGTACCCAACTACGTCCCGTGAGCTTCTTCGCTGCCTTCCTTCTCATCCTCTTCATCACCCTCCTCATCTCGTCCCACTTCCCCTCAGACGCATACACATTAGCCAACTGCACATACCTTGCTCCATTATCCCCTTCGACTTCCAATAGCTTGTTCTCCGCCATTCTTGCGAGTTCAAGATTTCGATTCATTTTGCAAGCATTCATAAACGTGCCCAATATTATGGTATCCGGCTCAATAGGCATCTTGTCGAAAAAGGCTACTGCCTTTTCGAGTTGATTCGACCTTCCATACAAGTCTAACATACATGCGTAGTGGTCGGTTTCAGGAGTTATTGCATAATCTTCTGTCATTGACGAAAAATACATCTCACCTTCTTCTACTAAACCACAATGCCGACAAGCTGATAGAATTGCAACAAAAGTTACAGCATCGGGTTGAAGGCCTGTTTGTTTCATTTCCTGAAAAAGCTTGATAGCTTCATATTCATATCCATGGTGAGCATAACCGGCTATCATTACATTGTAAACTACTAAATCTTTTGCTCTAGCTCTTTGGAAAGTACTCTCTGCATAGCTTATATTCCCACATTTTGAATACATATCAACCAAGGCACCAACAGTTTTCTCATCAGTTTTGATTCTCATTCTCAATGTGTGTGCATGAATTTGCTTACCAAGATCTATAGAGGCTTGTGTTGCACAGGCACTAAGCAGGCTGACAACGATCAAAGCGTCTGCAACTGTTCTTTCCTTGTTTTGAAACTCTCGGAAAAGATGAAAAACATCCTCGTATTGCTGTGATTTCACGTACCCAGAAAACATGGCTGTCCAAACGACAATATTTTTCTCTGCCAATGAGTCGAAAAGCCTTCTGGCTTCTAGCATGCTACCCCTTGTCGAGTATCCAACAATCATCGAAGTAATTGAGAACGAATTTCTCGTTCCAAATGTCTTGTGAACAGACTCAGCGTACCCCATATTACCACACTTGCAATAAACATCTACAATGCCACTGGCTATAAAGGGACTAGCCAACATCCCTTCTTTCAGAACCCAAGCATGAATTTCTTTCCCAAGCTTCAAACTCTTCAAAGTAGAACATGCATTCAAGACAGTAGCAAATGTGTGGACATCCCAGTTAAAACCCTCATCTGCCATGCACTTAAACAGCTCTATCGACTCGTCCTCACACCCATTCTGAACATATCCCGAGATCATCGTGTTCCAAGATACATTATCATTCAACTCCAGCTGAGTCGAAAATATTTCCTGAGCCAATTCCAACTCACCTTTTCTGCAACAAGCTGCCAGAATTGCATTCTTCACGACTACATCTGTCACCCCTTGACCACCGCTACCATTAAACACACTCCACGCATCCTCATAACATCCAGATTTAGAGTACATATCTATCAAAGAAGTAACTGCAAACCTACTAGAATCATTATTAGTCTTCACCATATATGAATGTAACTGCCTCCCATAACATAAAACCCTTAACTTAGCTACCAAATTAAGCAGTGTAGTTAGTGTAAACTCGTCCACCTTAACACTCTCACTCTCGTATTGCATTTGAACAAACAAATTCAGAGCCATATTTTCATGTCCCTCCGAGTTTGCATACCCACTTATCAACGAATTGTAGGTGACCGAATCTTTACATGGAGCAGAATCAAAGAAGAATTGTGCAGCAGTGAAGTTTTGGGATTTGATATGAGCGTTTATAATGGCATTCCAAGTGTACACATTTCGTTCGGGCATTTCATCGAACAGTTTACAAGCTTCTCCGACAAAACCTAGCTTTGAGTACAAGTGAATGAGTTGGTTGGCTGTGAAAATATTTGGGGTGAGACCCGATTTTATGGCATTGGCATGAAATTTGAGCCCTTCCTTCAGTGCCCTCATTTAAATATAATTGTTAATGCAGATTCATCGCCAAAAGGGAAGAGTTCACTGAAATTGGTTTACAACTCTCCAAGAATTTTGCAATTACGTGCTTTTAAATAGTTCTCTCCCGCCCAGGGAACCAAATATAGTAATATTTTTCCTCCCTGATTTGTCAAGAACAAAGCTTTCTACTATTTAAATTCCCGTCATGGCCCGTCTAAGTAGTCGGCATGGTCCACAGTGCAGGCAGAGCCTTTGGACCCATTTATACATAATCAACAATAGCATGGAATTATAACATTCTTCTTAACAATCAACAATCGAACCACAGTTTCCTGTCGGCATGAATGCACACCTCAGTACATATATGCATTCAGGAAATATTTCCTAAAACTACACGAATGTGTGAATTTTGAAGAAAATGGCATCTGTTTAATGGCTTGACACAGTAAATAAACAGATTTCATACAACTACTGGGAGTAAAAATCTCTATCAAGATCCACTCCTAACATGTGGTGAACTGGTCAGAGGAGAGCGAATCCGGCACATCAGGACTAGACATTTTACTCACAGATAAATTAACATTTTGCAGCTTTTCCTTCACAATTCATCATGTGCAAGGAATGGACTGAAATATTGTCTGACACTGTACCAGATGAACTAAATTCTTCACTTTCTGAACAGCCAGAAGAAAATTGATGAAATAATCACTCGTCCAACATGATATGAGAGGTATCTTCACATGGTCAACTATCTATATTGCAGTAGAATTATACCCAATATATCACAACTTCGATTCACAGAATACAACGTTGGCATCAAAATACACTGACCTTGCATCATCTGCCAAGAGAAATTCATCTAATCAGTTTAGAGGCCAAGCAATTGGTGCAAGAAGAGCAAATTGATTCTCATTAATCAAATATTTTTGCTGTCTACAATTTTGTATTAATTATTATTTTCAACATGTTCTTATTAATAACAAACAGTACAATTGAGGATAATAAAATTTAATGGTTTTATTCTTATCATTTAGTGTATAGTTTATTCCCATAATTCAACACCTATCTACTTTTTTAATCCTCTTGTAAATAGTTAACATTTGACTCGGGGAAGATTGGTATAAATAAGCCTGAAATCAAAACAAATACAAACGTAAGTTCACATGTTTACCTGCAATTTTGGCCAAAACATACTCTGCAGGCACATTGGTCTCTGCTTCAACAGCCGCTCTGGCAGCTGCAATGCCAACTGCCACACTTTGCATTATATCCAAACCAGCACAAAAAGAAGATAATGCACCACCAACTAAGCAATCACCAGCTCCAGTAAGCTTCACAACTGATGCAGGAAGTGCAGGAAAATGCACAGCAAATAGTAAAGAGCTTCCATCGGACGGTAGAGAACTAACAAATCTACTGGGGGGACAACTTGAATTCACAGTGCTATAAAGTTGTGCGCTGAAAGAATGAGGTTTGTTTCCCATGAAATCACGTCTCTTAAAGCCATGCATTTCTTTACAGAACAAGAAGACCCCATCTGATCCAAGAGTCACAATAACAACTCTAATGCCTTTCTCTAGCAAAACCCAGATAGCAGGTTTAAGCATTTGAAACAGCAATCCTGTGGATAACTTGGTGCTGCTACAATCTCTTTTAACTGGTAAAAAATTATCTTGACAAGAAAGAGCATTTGCCATAGACACAAGCTCATCTTCGTTGGGGGAGGCAAAACTAATCTGTCAAAGAACTTCGAATAAGTTGAAAAAGTTTTCTAAGATTATAAACATCATTTATCCTACAAATTCAGGGTAAAGTGTTGGAGAATAAGGAGTTCTGCTATTATCTATTTCCATATTCTTAGACTGTTTAAAAACCATGACAAAACAAGACTGAAAGGAACTCGCAACAGAAATATAAGCAAGATCAGATGGTTTAGATAGATAATTTTACGATTGAAAGAGACAGATCAACAAACAAACAAATGGAAAAGAGCTTATTCAAACGAGCTTAATCATAGGTATCATTGTGTGCCAGTACTCACATATTGTGCTACTGAAGCAATTCTTTTGGATTTAACAACTGATACAGGCTCGAACCACACAGGAGTCTTGCATTCTGCTGCCACTGAGAAACACGTTTAACCAATAAATATGTGTATCACCATATAACAGAAAATTGAGAGGGGAAGATATTAGTATAATAATGTATTGAAAATGCGATTACATAACGTACAAACGTTCCATTTTGATTTGCAACTTGCAATGAAAAATAGTTTTGACTAGTACAAAATGCGCATATTGAACAAAGGAACAAGCAAAACCCGAGTATTCACGAAACAGACAACTACATACAGAGATAATCTGTGTAATTGTAAGATTGTATTATCCTATAATTGAAGTTATTCTCCGGTGATAGAGCCAAGTCATAAGACTATAGGTGTGGCTTATTTACACGTACATTATATAACCTCGCATGAACTATTGTTAGAATCCATTCTATGAAAAGTAGGGTTCTAGAAGTAACAGTACATCTACAGGATTTCACTTTGTGCACGAGGCAGTAGGCAGATAAGATGTCATTGGCATTGGGAGAAAATTTTGTATTCAATAGAACAGTCGGCCTACTCAACTGACAACAGCTATATAAATACATTTGTTTTCTATCTTCATGTTGCAGGCCAGCTTAATTGATTTCTAAACACTTCCTGATACACGATAGGTGTTATTAAAAAATTTCATATGCACATAAAAAAAATTGCAAATAGGGATATATATATTTTTTTCTTCTCTCTCTCTAGATTATTCATGCAGATATACAGAGGAAGCAAGGAGGAGAGAGATCAACATTAATTGATTAGCCAACGTACTTCGACAAGATGCTACCAATGCTGGAGGACTTAAATTTGCATCAAGCATCAACACTGGAGCAGAACAGATATGGGTTCGGAATTTTTCTATCCACTTAGGTGTAAGAAACTTCTCCTGTTTCCATCACCATATTAGAGGTTGGAATTTGATTGCATCTCATAATTATTCTACCACGTTTTCTCCAGAGAACAACTTACAAGTGATTCAAAACAAGCAACAGCAGCTGCCAGCTCTCCTGTACCATCAAAGATGTTGCAAACTACTGCTGTCTCAATATCTTGGTGCTTTTGAATGCCTAATAAAGAACAAAGATTAGATCTTTCATTAGAATGCTTGTAATTTATTCAAGTTACTGAATTATTAAAAGGAAACATACTTCTCAAAATGCACCAGTTAATTAATCAATTAAGAAAAGGGAAGATAAGAATTAAAAAAAACAAGAAATGAAGTTTTTAGTGTTTTAAGATTCCAGGTCTAAAATATTTTCCCAGCACTATAAAGGGGAATATTAAACTGCATTTATTAACTGAAAACTTCAAAGTGTACCTTCCATGGAAAGCCCAGCAGATCTCCAGTGCTCCAACAGCAAATTTCCTAGTCAATAGAGAGATCACATACAATCACCAACTCCTCTCAGTGAGATTGTCTACGATTACCAGCAGAACTAGAAGGAAAAAATTCCAGATTGCAATGTGTAATAGCACAATAGACCAGTGCAACATTGGAGATTTACATACGAAAATCTAGAATGCGACTAAAACAAGTGTATGTACTGCTATGAGCTCCTACAGGCTGAAATTCATTACAGACAAATACATGAAGTACTGATCTCCAATATCCCAATTTATGTCTATCAATATCTGCAGTGGCAATGTTTATGGGGTATGATATATATTTTTATATTTAATCATGGAATACCTGAATAATGAATAATCGTGCACTTAATATGCCTTCTATATATTAAAAGTATCCATAGCTTTTTTACAGAATACCAAGTGATACAAAAATATCCATAATTTCAAATGAAAAATAATTGTGACTCGACAAAGAATCTAATGCTATTTCAACAGAAAAAGAAGTGACGATGTAATCAAAGATGTTGTTCATCCTCGTAGAATATATACCTGCCATGTCAAGCCCAAGTGTACTTATCATGAAAGGCTTTGTACCAAGCTTTGACATGCACTCAGCAACATTCCTTGCTACACCACCTAATGCATAAAGGACCTAAATTGAGAGGTCACACATCGCATACTGTCAATCACAAAATAACTTCGCATGCATTCTCCAATAGCTTTGCGAAAATTGAAGTTCTACATCTATCTATCTTTAGTGTGATAAATGCATTAGAAACCAACAAAAGGCACTATAACTTCAATATCACAACTAAAAAATACGCAACAATCTCAATAAATTTGGGGTCGGATAAATATAACACATATGTATACCTTCCCCGGAGTGGTGGTCCTGGGATTAGCTGGCATAGAAGAAGAGGCGTTTATGTCCAGCACCATTCCTCCTATAACTACCGGCTCTGCTTCATCATCTGAGACTTGCTCTCCTTTACTCGAGCTCTGAAATTAAACACAGACCATGAAAGAATTGCGAATAATTACTTGTTTATTACACTCATAAAATAAAATAAAATAAATCATAATTTGAAAGAACGAAACCGTGAAATGAGGAGCTCGTAGAAACCCCATAGATCTTGACTCCATTTTCGCTGTCTCGCAGAACTGGAGTAGCTTTATACTGATTTGTTCCGAGTCGGGAATTGGATTCTGGAAAGGCTTAAGATTGACTTGCAAAATTATTTTAGTGAAATAAATTTGCAAAAAATGGGAGCAAATACGAGCTTAGTGTGATTCTGGATGGATTAATTGGGATTTGATCCTCGCTTAACACTATAAAACTTATCTATTTCCTTTTTCAAATAAAAAAAGATGCGAGACTGTTTCGGAGTTATTTTGAGAATTGATTTTTTGATCATTGGGAGAAAAGTAGGGTCCACATGTGAAGAAAAAAAAATCAAATATGACAGATAGAATGGTGAAATAACGGTCAAAAAATCAATTTTTTAAGGCAAAAAAGCGCTCCCAAACAAGCTATAATAATTGATAAGTTCAAAGTTTAACTTGGAATTAGAACATTTAGGGCCAGCTTGCCAGTTTTCTTACTGGTTTTGCCCCTTTTGAATAGAGTAGTACTACAGATATATAAGTATATACATAGGGATGTCCATAATGTCAGGTGGCACTCTATCATTTGCATATTTAAAACATAATCAACTTTTTCAATCAATTTTTTTAACATTGTTTCTGAAATGTTAGAAAAGTTAATTTTTGGAGCACTAATTTTGGTTGGTTAATTTGAGCTGTATTTCACAAATCAGTGTTTTGACTATTTTCTCAATTTTTTAGGGATTTTTTTTTTCTAATTTCGCGGTCTAAAATAATTATTTTCCAATATAGGAAAAATTGTAACTAAGTCCTAAACCTTTCAAATTATTATAGAATATATTTAGATCTTTCATTTTTGTAGCTAAGGTTCCAACCCTTAAACGACGATGGCAGCTAGGGGACATGAGGGCGAAACCATCCAATCCTTTATCAGTTGACCAAAAAAATTAAAATTTTGACATATTCTGACTAATTAAGTGAAGGGTAAAATGGTCAAATTACTATTCCCTCAATCATTTTACCCTTCTTTTAATTAGTCTGAATAATCAAAATTTTAATCTTTGTGGTCAATTGACAGAGGAGTGAAGGGATTCTGTTTTAATTTTTATGGTCAAATAAATAATTTGTGAATGTGATTGTGAATTTGACTGATAAATAATTTGTGATCAATCATGAACTAAGTTGTAACTTATAAAATTTGTGATTTGTGACAAATGAATAATATGCGACCTATTAATTTGATAAATTTGTGATCGATGAATAAATTATAATCTATAAAATTTTTAATTTGTGACCATGAAATAATTTGTAACACACAAAATTTTTAATTTATGACAGAGAAATAATTTGTGACCAAAGTGTATAGAATTGTGACATTAGTATATTTAACTAATAGAAGACACGTTTAATTGATTGTTATATAAATAAATTTTAATAATTTTTGATTTTTGAATTTCTAAACCTTGTTTCTTAATTTTGAAATGAATCATAGTTAATCTCTTAGATGTCAAAATTTAATCTTTCATTAAAATAAGCTTAGAATAACTTCTTTAACTCTCATCAATGGTGACAGTTTTCTAACGCGAATAAATGATCGTCATTTCCACTTTCAAACTCTCAAATGCCATTGTATTTGACCGTATTAATTGATCTTACTCATTAACATATTATAGAACCTTCAAGCTCATAAATTACTTCAAATATCCCATTTAATTTTGGGCATAATTTTGTTTTTTTATTTTTTAAACCCACTTCTAAAGTATCTGCCCGCATTGGACTTTTGGGCATAATTTTTTTTTTTTTTTAAACCCACTTCTAAAGTTTCAATATCAATAGTAGTGAACATTCATAGTCTTTTTTCAATATTCGATATCCAGCTCAGAGAGAGAAACCCTATTAGACCCATTCCCTCAAAATTCAATTGACCCAAACCTATTTATTCATTTGAATCAATCCAACCCTTTGTCTGTGAGTGAGAGAATTCATTCCTGTTGTAGCGTCACAGTTTCAGCTCACACAGAGTATTAAAACTCGTAAGGAACAAGTGAAATATATAAATTATGTCGTTTTTAGTATTATCGTACTGTTATTTTATTTTTTTAGCGTCATTAAATCCATGACTAAAATCTCGACATTCAACGTCGAAAATTTTTTGCCCGCGCTGAACTAAAATCCCGGCTCTACCTCTGCAGGCATTTGCCCAAGGAGCAAAAAAAGACAAATGATGAATTTCTTATTAACAGAAATTACTGATTTTGCTGTTTTTTATTCTTGGTTACAGTGTGAGCATATCGAAAGAATGGTATTTAATCATACTCCGGAGGCTCTGTCGTGCATGGTTGATTTGTTTTGGGCTATGACATAATAATTAAATAAAATGTATTTTTGCCTAAGTCGAATAAGAATATGACATAATAATTAACCCATAATTACAACTCGTTGAGCTTATATCTTGGTTTCTCTTTATTGCAAGATTAGTACAAGAAACTTCTTCTATATATTAGAGATGATGCTTCTTATTTTAAGTCAAAATTTGATACATCCTAATAAAATGATATTCGGTCAACAATTATATTAATCAAATACATTATTCAATATACGTTGCATCCACATAGGATGCGATGAAGCTACGCGATATGTGGTTTGTGGCTATTGGAGGTTTGGCCGCAATTTGTTTGGGAGGAGCGATCTTTTTTTAAAAATGAAAGACATGTTTTGCCATGAAAATATCAAAAGCTTATTTGACATTTTTTCCTTTTTAACTATTAAAATTAAATAATCAAATAAATGCACATAGGATGACACGTATATTGACTATGTCAAGATTGTCATTGTCTCTGATTATAGATAACATTATTCAATTATTTATTTTACAATTGAAAAAAAGAAAGAAAATTCACAAAAATCCAAAATTTAAGCCCCCGTTTGATCCTCATTCTTGTCAAATTTTAATGGTTGGAATAATATTTTTTTGAAAAATGTGTGATTGAAAAAAAATGAAAAGTTTTTTATTTGCGTGTAATATTATTTTATGGAAGATTGTATGATTGAAAATAAGAGAGATAAAAAGAATGAGAAGGAGAATGGGAGCCAAACGGTGGCTATAATTTGTGGAAATTACATAAAACCAGGAACTTAAACATTCAGATTCAAAGTTTAGGGGTGAAGTATATTTATGAAAATATCAAGTATTATTAATTCTCCAAATTCAAATAAAAACCCTATTCATTTCACCCAATTTTGAGACTCGATTCCCGTCTTTTCATTCTCTCTTCTCGACGACGCATTCAACCACTGCAAAGGCGATGATGGAAATGCGTCAGTGCCGACGCTGGCGTGGAGAGGTGAAGCTGCTGGTTTGGGCCGTGTTTGAATGGGTCGCCGTTCACAGCAGCGTGGCGATCTATTGTTCATCCAAGCTGTTGAAGACGTTGAAATGAGGTTATTATTTGTGATAGAGTGAATATCAGGTCCAAGAAATTGCCCATTGATTAAAATGCCCTAAACAAACAGATCATAATCATTGAATTTTATGTGGCTAAACAACTTCAAAATAAACAAACAAACCTGTTGGCGAACTCCAAGAGAATAAATGTCACCATAAGAAACATTCCAGGGAAAGAACTCGTAAGGGTCTTCAACTTCAGCAATTGCTAAAGCTACAAATAGAAACACTAATTTTAGCGTCATTTTCATTGGAGAACTAGCCTCCATATGGTTGGTTGTGTGAACGAGGGTTTCTGAGAATTTAAAAAGGCTATAGTGAACAATAAGGCATGGAGGCAGTGGTGCTCATGTTGGTAAGGTGATGGTGGCTGTAGAGGCAGTGATGACTAATATTGTTGTGTTGTTGATGATGTTGGTGGTGATTGTTGTGATGGCGATAATGGGTGGGGTGTCTGTTACCAACATTTGTCATCTGTGACCATGTAGTTGATTTGAGACCAACAAATTGTGTCCATGTGACTCATAAATAAAATGTGACCTGTAATTTGAATAATCAGTGATCTCGAAATAATTTTTGAAATAATCTGTGACAAAAAAAAAATTATTTGTGATCATAAAATAATCTGTGACAAACTAATTTAACGATATGTGACCTATTAATGAATTTGTGACCTATAATTATGAATCCATGACCATTATTTTATAACTGTGATTTTATTATATTTATTTAATAATATTTTTAATTAATTAAATATACACATGAATTTTGAATTTTCAAACTTTATACCTAATTTTTGAAATGGTGTAAAGAATATTAAAGAAATATGATTTTTTTTCCATTTTAATTTTAAAGTAAGCCCATTGGACCTACGCTTGTTAAAAAGAGAAAAAAATAATAATAATAAGAAAAGAAAAACCCTATAAATTCCTCACACCAATTCTTCTTCGTTTTTGTAACCGTCAGCTGCTCATCATTCAGCAACTATTTCATTTCCACAAATCGAGGTTTCTTTTTCCTTTTCATTTTTCTCTTTTTCAATTAATTACTAATTTCTATAATTCCTTTTTGTATTTTGTGTTTTGCGTTTGAATTTTCATGTTCACGTTTCGCAGTATCATACATTGCATGTGAATTATGAAACGCGAAATATACAGAGATTCTTACTTCGAATTTTCCTTCTTTTTTTTTTTTTATAATTTAGTACAAAAATAAGAAAGGCCTCGAAACCAGATTTTATGAGAATTATTAATTATTTTCCATATAATTCTGCTAAGTAATAATGTAGATCTAATTGATATGAGAATTTTACGCCTAGGGCACAATTTGTACCACATGCTTCACTTGTGTTTTATGTTATTAATTGTTCTTAATTTTATTTATTTTTCGAGTGAGCATGCACGAATGCATACAGCTAAATTTTTATTTTTATTTTTTTAAAGCACGAATTTAAGGTTATTTTATGCAAAAATTGCTTGTGTAAAATTCTTTCCAAGAATCATTATTATCGGTTTGTGAAATTATAAAGGATTTCTAAAATATTTATATACTTGTGACATTATTTATATTTATAGGCCTAGAAGCAATTTAACATTTAAAAAAAAATCTAATAAATTAGACTAGAAGTCCTAGCATAACAAATAATTTAATTAACAATGAATTTGCAAAAAATAAGAAATAAATTATTTGAAGTAATGATTTTAGATTCATCACATTTTGCTAGAGCATGTTAGAAATAGGTCGACACTTTTGAATTGACTAGTGTGACCGCTAACCATTATAAGTGACTTTCAACTGCGTGATTACATTGTCTGAGTAGCTTTGACAAATAATTGTTGTTTTTCTATCTAAATATAGTATATTGTTAATTGTACGTGTATGTTCATTGCCCTATCCATGTCCTTTTTCATCTTCATTAACCCATAATCTTTTCATTTGAATTTTACATTTTAGGGAAATTTTCGATTACTTTTTGAATTTGTCGACGCATTTATTTCTTTTTCTTCATAAAAAATGTTTCAAATCGTGATAATTTAAAATATAATGGTCACAATTTGTTTATTGAGAGAATGTAACTTTTGTACATGCGTGTATTTTTATGTACGTCACTTTTCATTGCTCCATTGTCTGGAAAAGAGGTTTATTAGGTTTATTATTTACAAATAATTGGCTATTTTGCAAGGAGATGGACAACATTGTAGATTCTATGGAGAATGCATATCAAGAGTTTGTTAACGCAACCTCAAGCTTTCTTGAGGCTACTCACACTTCTGGTGGTGAAAAGAGTGAAGCCAGTGATGCTGCTATCCAAAACTTTAGCCAACGATATGAATTGTTTAAAATTGCATGTGATCAAGCTGAAGAATTTGTGACTAACATGAAGCAAAGCATTACAAACAAATGTGTTGTGGACGAGGCTACATATGAAAGAACAAAAGAAGAGTTTCTCGTAGATGACGTCGAATTTGAAAAAGATGATGTCGCACTCGATTCTCCAATCGAATATCCCACAACAATGCCTATGACTCCTGAATTTTCTCCGGATCATGTTACATATGAGGATATTAAAGTCGAGGAGGACGATGAATTGGATAAGAAATAAATCATTAGCCTTGTAAATTGTACTTATTATCAAAAATTAAATCATTTTAGAAGATAAGGACATTATCAATAAAATCGTCTTGGATTCTAATTTTTTGCAATTTTCTTAGTGGTAATGATCTTTTTGGAAGGATCGGTTTAATTGAAAAAATGCGACCTTAATTTATTTATATTTCTAGCTCAACACATTAATCTTGATAGAAACATCTAAAGATGAAATCAATTTTATTTGCCCTGTATAAATGTGTTATAGACAACATTTTGGACTTATTTTTCCTTCATGATATAACATTGATAGAATTTTGAATTGGGCTGGACTCAGGCCAAGGCTCAGATTTCTTCCGAACAACTATTAGAGATTGGTTTGAGGAAATTAGGCCCATTACTTTAAAAAAATAACAAATTAGATTTATACCTACAAAGATTAAAACATTCCCCTACCGTATTTAATACGTTCATTTCCTTCTTCCACGTCATAATTAACATCCGCAGGTCCCTCTCCAGTCAACACCAGAACCTCAACCACTACACCCTCATCTCCATTTTTCTTAACATCATCTCCAATTTTCTTTCTTTGACCTACATTTGATCAATTCCTCATTCTTCCAGTTCTTTACATGCTTTCTTATACGTTTTCTCTGTCTCTTTCTTGCTACAGTGGTGGTGGCGGAGATGGTGCTTTTGACGGTTGGAAGGCTCCTCTGAGTCTTTAAGAGAAACTGAGCAATGTCGATTGTACTGCATAGGTTCATCTCTGCCTCTCTTTCCCTGAACCGTGGTTGCCACAACTTCGCTGTCCTGTACTACCTCCAACTTCACTGCCACCAATGGTCCTGAGTATTTCTGGAGCGAGGATGAGGATGTTGTGCTCTAACTCAAGTAAAGCCCACCAATTTCAGGATTGAGATAATGATTTCGAAGAAATGTAGGAAAGGGGCTGAATCTTGGGAGTTTAGGTGGTGGATTGTATGAATTATGTGCCATCTAGCCTGTCACTAGAATTCAATCGTTCATAGGGATTTGAAGTTTAAAGCCTTCCAATTTCATAATCTTGACAACTGGGTTTCTCTAAGCTTGTTGTATTTAACAAATTTATGATAATAAAGTATATGAATGTATATATAAGAGTTTTCTGATGCAAGGAATCAAAATTATGTTATGTAAACAGACCCTTCCATTTAGATTCTTCTTCTTGTAATTTGCAACAATAGCCAAGTTCTATATCAGGTGGTGCTGTAATTGATGAATTCTAGAGAGAAGTTCTTACTTACAAGCAGTGGGAAAATACTACTCTATAGATCTTGTGTTCTTAGGATTTCAACAACTTGTTTCTAGTACCCGATTTCACCATTTCTTGATTGAGCATTGAATTTGTATAAAATTGACTTAGTTGGAGATCAATAGGTTCGCTAAATAGGTAGATGAAGATTGCAGTGAATTGACTTAAAGACGCTTAGCGTTTCAATTGGTGTTTTATCTGGGAACTGACTTAAAAATGCTTGGCGCTAAACGGAGAAAAGGAGTGATGATATCTGTGTCACTTTAACGTAATTTTATTGAATTGATTCCAATGTTTTAATTTGTGCTTTATCATGTTTTTGAGTGTTTGTAATGTTTTTGAATTTTTGTCACATTTTTTAGTGTTTGTTACCTTTTTTCTCACTTCTTGAAATTTCTGTTACTTTTTTTATTAACAAACATCACTTTTTAAATAAAAGTGACATAATTGTCACTTTTTAATTAAAAAAAAAAAGTGACATTGTTCCGCTTAATTTTACAGGTATTTTTTTATTTTTTTTGTCATTTTCTTAAAATATTTTGTCATTTTTTTGAATGGCAAACATAACTTTTTAATAAAAGAGACATTATAAGTAACACTTAATTTAAAAAAGTGATATCGTGTCACTTTTTTAAGAAAGTAACATTATGCACTTTTTAATAAAAAAGTGATATTAAAAAGTGACAACTATATCACTTTCTTGAAATTTCTGTCATTTTTTTGAATTTTTGTTGTTTTTTTAGTATTTGTCACATTTTTTGAAATTTTGATACTTTTTTTTTTAGTATTTGTCAATTTTTTTAGTCGCCTTCATGAAATTTTCATCACTTTTTTTAATGATAAATATCACTTTTTAATAAAAGTGACATTTGTATAACATTTTTTGAATAAAAAATGACATTAAACTTTTAAAAGTGACGTTGTATCACTTTTTAAGAAAAAGAGACACATTATTTATAAAAAAGTTATATTGTGTCACTTTTTTTTAATTTTACATAGTATTTTTTACTTTTAAAAGACTTTTCATATGATTTTTCAAAAGATCCTTAATTTTAAAGATATTTTTGTAAGTTGCCCGATTGGTTTTTGGATGTAGCCCAATTGATGATATGTGCCGGCCCATGTAAACCTTAAAAGGGTAAAGATCCATCAAAATTCTGTAGAATCTCCTCTGAATTTCGGGTACATTAATCTCTGAAGGTACTTAATTATCTTTTCGATTTTCGTTTTCAAGTTTCAATTTTCGGAATTTTGTTTGATTTAATACCTTTATTATGTTTTCATAGTTCTAATTAATGAATTATTTGATTATGCTAATTGATTAAAGTTCAAATAGATTGAACTGCTGCAAAGAGGGAAAATGAAGAAATACAGAAATCCTTCCACTTCGAGACATGTTAATTTCATGCTTGATTAAATGACTACTGTAGAAACAATTTCAATTTGGATTTATGAAGCATGCAAGTTTGAAATAACAAATTTGTGAATTGGATCTTGACACGTTGTGAAATTGAAATGACAAATTTGTGAAGTAGGTTTTGTGAAATTGAAACGACAAATTTGTCTATTATTTAGTACGAAGCCAACTACAACTTGCGACGCGACCGGCAACCACCAACTGGTGCGATTTTGTTTTTCTTTTTAGGTTTTGTATTTTATTTTTCAAAATAATGCCTTAATTGAGGCAACAGATCTCCCTGTAAATTTTTCAATTTGCTCTTGATTTGCTTTTTGCTTCTAGTTTGACTTCTTAAACTGTGGACTAAGATTTGGCAATCCTCACCTTTAAGTAGCAAAGCCTTGACTGGAACAAAAAAGGGTTTGAAATTAGGTGAGTTCAATGAGTTTTGGGAGAATGAAGGTAGTTCGAGACACTATTCTATGGCAAACACACCACACTGAAATAGAATTTTAGAGTGGAGAATGGCAACACCAAAAGAGGTATTGCCTAGTACTCTTGTAGATTACTAACACTTGAGATTGTCTAGGTATCCTACTTCCTAACCATAAGAAGGACAGAATTTAATTTGAGGATAGTGAAATGAATATTCGCAAACTATGCATTTGGTAAGTGCTTCCGGTCAGGATAAGAAAGACTAAAATATTAGTAAGCACGGAAAGTCAAGACTTTTGATTATTTTCAGCAATGAAACACTTGAAGAAGGCAATTGTTAACAACATGGAGGAAGAAATTCTCGCTGCTTGGGTGACCCTCTACATAATTTGTTGTGAACATCGATGTAGATTTTAGTATAAATGAATTTTATAGTGAAAAAATCACCGAGCGTAAATCCAGTAGACAATGTCAAAGTATGACATTTTTGTTATATATTAATTTTATTCGTACATTGACTCTTAATTTTCTGGCTTTCCTCTGTCGTTGAAGAATCACATCAATTCATCTTCTTTTTTTTAACTCATGGTTTTAGGAAGCAACACCCAGTCAAGCTCTAGAATGCCATCTTCTACAATGTAGTGCACTCTATGTTCATGTGTGTGCACATTGTTTACATGCACGCTTACTTTTAAATGTCTGGCATTCATCGTGTGTGTCTGTGTCATTCGCATCATATTCACTAAACTTCACATTGGTAGGAGATGGCTCGTTACATTTTGTTAGTGCCAAAAGTAATAATCAATAAGATTTTTTTTTTTTTTTTTAATTTGTATTTATTTATCTCCATTGATGTTTACATCACGCGATCCATAAAATTGGATTTAAAGAAGATCCAGTTTCCAAAATTAAAGTACAAAAAGGGCTAGGAGAGGATTTGGGGCGTATAATGGCATGTGATATCACTTGATCCTGTTCCAGACGGACCATTTTGTCTTTTTAATTGTGTTCTTTTGCATTCATGTCGGATTGCACTTTGTCATATCTCATACTTTATCAATCTTACAGGGGCTCAGCAGTTGTTTATCTCATTGGCACTTTGTAGATTCTTAAATGGACAGTATCGTAGATTCTGTGAATAATGCGTATCAGGAGTTTATTGCAGCAGCTTCCAGCTTTCTGGAATCAAAAGAAAACTCTGGCGGCCTAAAGACTGTGGCCAGTGATGTTGCCCTTGAGAACTTTAAGCAACGATGGGAATTATTCAGAGTTGCTTGTGATCAAGCAGAAGAGTTTGTGGAATCTGTGAAGCAAAGAATAGGGTCTGAGTGTCTAGTTGATGAGGCCACTGGCTCTGTTGCTCAGAAACCTGGTCAGCCTGTTCAAAGTGGTCTTCCACCTATCAGTGCCGTTCGATTGGAACAAATGAGTAAAGCTGTCAGATGGCTGGTGATTGAATTGCAACAAGGTTCTGGAACTGGTGGTGGTTCATCGCAACCCCACCCTACAGCTCCCTTTGATGCTCGATTTACCGAAGATGCTGGTCAATAGGTATTCCAAACACTCTTTATGCAATTTGGTGGAGGTCGTGAACCTGAAACTTCAGTGTCACAGTAGAGGATGGCCAGGAAGCTGATAAAAAAAATTCCAAACCTGATGTTGTAGTAAAAAACACATACTTTCTTCATAGTATTTAAAGTAAACATTGTAGCTGATAATATATTTAGTTATCGGAGAAAATGGTTATTGATGTTTTAAGAGGGAATCCCGTTAGTTCAGAATTGATCTGAGCTTCCATTTGCCTAATTCAGTGCCACGCATTTCATGGCTACCGCGTTTATTTTTGCAGGAAAGAAGCTTTCTACTTCGATTATGTACTTTGACCGGCCACTGAGAACCCATGTTCACGTTGGTAAACAGACTATTCAAGTAAAAGTGCCTGGGATTGTATCTGAAATGCAGTATATAAGTTACGAAGCATTTCTTGCTAATGTACTTCAAGTTTCGACTGCATTCTATCATGTTTTATAGTGTCAGTTTGTCTTGTACACGTGAATCTTGATGCAATTATGTTGCTTGTATTGTGCAATTGTTTTGCCCCTGTGATTAATTTTAATGGTGTAACGAGTGCCACCCAACACAGCCCCGTCTGAAGTTTACTCTGTTAATCTTGTAATGAAAACCATCGGCTTTGATGGTGATCGCTTTACGGAAGCTGCAATATTAGAATGAGCTTATGCCAACTAAACCAGTGCTCCTACTAAATAGTTTGTGAGTTAAGATTTGCTGTTTAATATTGGCTGTCAACCAATGATTAATCAACACATCATTGTACACCTATTTTTAAGCACAGGTGATTGAAAAAAAATTAAATATGTTAATTTAAAGTTATATGTCAATTAATTATTGGTTGCATAGCAAGTTGGATACTCAATTTTGGACAGTTGATCTTAACTCTTATTTTGTACTTACCATTTACCATTGGAACAATGCTATCTAGTATCAATGGTGCAAGAATCCTAGTTTGAATGTAAGCATGTGATATGTTTAAATAAATGAGTTATAAATCTTTGTATTTAATTGAACGTAAAATTTAATGACACGAGTGATATCACCTAGATAAGTATTAAACACAAGTGGCGCTGAATAGTATTATGTATGGGGTGTGTGTGATTCTTGTCAATTGGTTTTGTTCTTGCGCTCTTCCTATTAAAACATAGGCAAAGCCCCTTGTATGTGGCCCTGGATAGTACGCCAAATGGCGCATCTAGATATCGAGGGCCATGTGGGGCCTGGACGTCAAGCAAAACTATTAAAGCATTACTGCTGCACTTTTTAACTTCTTCAAATCCTAGAAATTCTTGATTTTATTTTATCAAGCTAATTCCTGTTAGTCATCATAAACTAGTAAAAGCATAAACTAACATTTCCCATTGCGGAGATGTAAATGTACCTTGCATCAACCTTGTTAGGTTAACTATGTCAATGATCACTGAAGTTTTGAGTCTTCGTGTCAACTGTCATTGCAGTAATTTTAGTGACCAAAAACGTAATTCCTCAAAACATCAGTGATTATTGACTTAATTTACTTACCTTGGTTTTTGTGGGCACCCATACGAGAGCATATCCCCTTTTAAGGCCAATCTCGAAGGGTCATAAAGAGTATATCTGTTAAAATATATTGCGTCATATGTGCCAATATGATCGAAATTTTGATAATCTAGTCTAGTCTATATCGAGATGTACATCAGAGTAAAAGATGGGGTCCTAGACCTATATTTTGCTGTGATGTATGGCCATTCTGGGACCTATTTAAAAAAAAAAAAATATTTAGCATTTTTCAATTGATTATTTGTTTTTCAACTAAAATCATATTCAATCATACAATCCTGATAAAAATCATTTTCACATTTTTTTCATAACTTTTCCCTATTTTTTAAGAGACATATCCACACAAAAAAATTGCTTCTTAAAAAAAAATAATAATAAATAAATAAATAAAAATTCAAACAATCAATTATAAAAAAGGGCTTAATCAACTACAAAATCAATTATAAAAATCCACATATCACACGTGCAGTGCACGAGGGTACAATATTTTGATACTTTGTATGTGCAACCAAGTAGTCATGCAATGCAAGTGTTCGTAAAAGAAGCAAAGAAATTGCAAATCCTCCCAACGAATTTTTTGTGACAAAATATAGTATTGTTCTCAAGATTATACTTTCCTCAGTTGTTCATTGAGTACAATTTGTAGAGTGAATGACTATGATTAGCAAAAATTTGTGGATTCCAAACCCATTTTACAACAAGATTTTTATTGGGAGAAAGGAAAAGAACCTGATTGATCTTATTTCCGTGAAAGTGAACTTTACATCGTCAGCTTACTAACAAACTATTTACAAGACTCAATAAAAAATTGACATGTGGATGACTAACTACCCTAACAACAAACTAACGTCCAACTGTGTAACTAATTTAGTTAGAGAAGCGGCAGGCAAAGGCTTAGAGAATATGTCAGCTAGCCGATGTTGAGTGCGAAAAGGATGCAGCTTAACAAAGCCATCAGTGATTTTGTCTCGAATGAAGTGGCAGTCCAGTTCTATATGCTTGGTTCTTTCATGGAATATAGGCTTAGTAGCGATGTGTATGGCGGCTTGATTGTCACAAAATATTAAAGCAGGTGTAGGAGAAGAAATATTAAGGTCATGAAGCAATTGCTAAATCCAAATAAGCTCATTGGTAGTTGCGGCCAAGGCTCGATATTCTGCTTCATCTGGAGATCGAGATAGAGTACTTCATTTATGTGATTCTGTAGGGCCAAATTCCAGCAAACACCAAGGTAAATCGGGCTCAGTTTCACCAAGAAAGTCGACACCACCAACGGGTTGAGACAACTCCAAACCACCACCACTAAGTTCCCACCTCCGGTTGCTATTAGTTGGACAAGATGAAGAACAATAATATGCCCACTAGAAAAGAACCACAAAGGTCACATAGAAGAGGAGATACCGAGAGGAGAAGATTACAGAGAGAGAGATTGGGCATTCTTCATATGGAGGCCGAGAGGAAGGCCAAGAATATAAACCAAGTAAATAAACAAACAAGGTAAGTTAGGTTAGGGTTATTTAGTGGACCAAACAAGGCTCGACTCAAAAAATAATGGGCTTCAAATTAATAACATAGCTCTCCAAGGAAATGGGACGAACCGTGAGCAACACTATTAACAATATGTTGCTTCTAACGGTCCATAAGAATGTGGATTGGGTTGTCTTGATAAATGTGTCGATATACTAATTAATCATATAGCCAAGACCGATTGATAATAGAACCGGGATTACATCATAGCCCAGGGGGTCGTTTGACAACAAATTGCCTAACAACCTCTACCTTGGTGTCAAAGGATCTGCAAAAGAAAAATATCTCCCATTAGTGACACATCTAATAGAAAATCGATAAAAAATTGGAAATCATTTACTTGTACCAATGTTTAGAAGTTCCTTGCAACTTCTAAACTTTGCCAGTGGCAGTACCTTCGTCCCCATATCAGAGAGGTAGTAGTGGGTGTGGACCTTTTCAAATCTTATCACCTCTTGAGATACTATATCTCTAATGAAGTAAAGTCTAACATCAATGTGTTTAGTGCGCTCGTGAAAAAGGGGGTTCTCGCATAAATGTATAGATGACTGACTATCATAATACACTACCACATAATCATTCAAGACACATAGTTTATGAAGAAGACCTCTAAGCCATAGAACTTCTTTAATAGTTTCAGTGGTAGCAATATATTCTGATTCTGTAGTGGATAGTGCAATAATATGTTGTAACTGTGATTTCCAACTAACACATGAATTAGATAAGGTAAACACGTAAGACGAAGTAGATTTCCTACCATCCCTATCTCCCGCGTAGTCAGCATCTACAAAACCCTTTCATTTTATACCTTCTTTATTAGCACTAAATTTTAAACTTACGTCACTTGTACCCTTCAAGTACTTTAATAGCCACTTTAGCGCTTCCAAATGTTCAGGGCCCGAATTAGCCATATATCTACTGAGAGTACTAACAGCAAAACCTAAATTCGATCTAGTACAAACCATCAAATACATTATGGAACCAATCACATTAGAGTAAGGCACTCTACTCATGTATTCTACTTCACGCTCATTGTAAGGGGATTGTTCCTTTGATAAAACAAAATGATTAGCAAGAGACAACGTGACAGGTTTGCAATCACTCATATTAAATTTCTTCAATACTTTGGATATGTATGGAGACTGATGTAAAAACAAAACAGAATTTGACCTATCTTTTTCGATTTCAATACCTAAGATTCTCTTAGCCTTACGTAGGTCTTTCATGTCAAATTCACCACTTAGTTTTGCTTTTATGTTATTTATCTACTTAGAGGATGATCCAATCGAAAGCACGTCGTCCATATAGAGCAACAAAAAACAGATAATTATCATTAGTCTCATTGTATTGAAAATACAGGTAGTGATCAGATTTACTTCTTTGGAACCCTATAGTGAGTATAAAGGAATCAAACCTCTTATACCACTGTCTAGGAGATTGTTTTAAACCATACAAGGATCTTCTCAGAAAACAAACATAATCAGGTTTTGACTCATCCATAAAACCTTTTGGTTGATTCATGAAAATTTGTTCATCAAGCTTACCATGTAAAAAAATAGTTTTTACGTCAAGTTGTTCGAGTTCCCAGTCAAAGTGTGCAACCAATGCGAGCATGACCCTAATAGTAGTGTACTTAACAACGGGTGAGAAAATTTCATTATAATCAACGCTCTCCTTCTGTGTATAACCTTTAACTACTAACCTAGATTTAAACCTTAGGGGTTCCGAGCTGCTAGTTACTTCCTTAACCTTAAAGATTCATTTGCAATCAACAATTGATTTGTTCTTAGGCCTAGGTACTAGCTCCCAAGTATAATTCTTTTCTAGAGAACTCATCTCTTCTTTCATTGCCTTAAATCATTCATTAGATTGATCACTGCCTATTACCTCTTCAAAGGTCTTTGGCTCTTTATCAGCTAGTTCTTCATAACTAGCCTGGGCGAAAGCTAATTCAGATTTAAAACTGAACCTTCTAGGTTCTCTCGTTTGTCTCCTCTCTCTCTCATTAACTAAGTTATAGTTAGCTAAAAGATTTTCTTCCTCATAGTGCTCTTCTGTCACTATTTCATTACTATTCTCCACCTCGAGTTCTTGAGCTTGAGTCTCCACCTCATTTGAAGCAGTAGGGGCAGGTGGATTGAGTTTTCCTAACTCGACCTTAAACTGGTCTCTCTCTTCACCCGGTTCAGCTTCACTCTCAGGTTCAGTTTCCCCTTTAATAGACGGCATCTCATTTTCGTTAAATGTGATATCTCTACTTATGATGATCTTAACCCCCTTTTGGCTTCTATCCCATAACTTATAACCCTTAACACCCTCGGGGTATCCTAGAAAAATACACTTCCTAGCTCTAGGTTTCAGCTTACCCTCACTTTGATGAGAAAAAGCTGTACAGCCAAAAGTTCTAAGCATCGAGTAATCACTCAGTTTACCCGACCATCTCTCATGCAGAGTGTCACCATTCAATGCAGCAGAAGGAGTCAGATTAATCAAATAACAA